TATTTATTTTTTTTAATGTCTGATTTATTACTAACAGAGAGATACAACCAGAATTCATGATTAAAAAACAGACATAAACCTTTTCCTGAGATCGAGCCCTATTTTTGCACACACCTGGGAATATTCAAGAAGACGATGCACTGAAACTTCAGCTCCTGGATCTTGGGTGTGAGATCTGTACCGTCACACTGCCAATAAAGAAAGAACGTAATTACAAAGAAGAACATCAGGTGAACAATGGTAACGTTAGCATGAGCGGACAGGTCCTGTCAGAGCACTGCTTTCATGAGAGTGTCATACTCACCACCACCCTGACGTGCTTGGACAGGTCCCTGGAGCTCCGCTGGAGGAAGTCAGAGAAGGCCGCCTGAGGGGACAAAACACACGCTCAAACACACACTTACTCAGTCTGTCAGACAGACGGGAGCTCGGCCTACCCCTGCATAGAACATCTTGTTACGGAAGCGACTGTTGAATTTCTCAGGATTGGCTTCTGTGAAGGAACACAAACGACAAATGATTATGACTCCGAGCAAGAGAAACAACGGATACATAAAGACATCTTATTAAAGACCAAATGTATTAAATGTCAAATCATAGAAAACTATGAACTGAAAGCATTCAGTGTGCCACATATCAATATACACTATATTTCATCATGGTTCATCATGATGTCATATAATGATTAACATATCCCCGCCCACATTTACTTTACAAATCAATATCTATTCAGTATTCAGCTAATTGTCTGTAATGAACGATAATGTGAACTGAACTCATAACTAATTAGCCAATCATGACAATCATAAAATATATTTTACATTAAAAAAAATGGCATCCCCTTGTAAAATGAACAGCCAAAAATAAAATAAAAAAGATATTTAAACATATTGGCTATAATTGTAATGCATTTAAAAGTAAACTACATTTAAATAATAATTTTCACTATCCTCATTAAACATTTAATCTATGCATCGCAGTTTAAGTAATATAATTCAATGTAAAATAAATTATTAAAATACAATTAAAATAATTACAAATAACATTCCAATTGAAATAAAACCTTAATATGAATTAATAAATGGCAAATCCAGGTTACATTACTGAATACAGCAAATGTTAGATAATTAAATGAAGGAAAACATAATTATTTTACTTTTTAATTCCAAATCAGCTTGCTTGATTCTAATGGTGGGAAATGGATAATAAAAACTACAATATCAAGATTTAAATAGGACTTTAAGGTATTTTTAAATAATATTAAGATAAAAAAAACAAAAAAAACAGAGACATTAAGACTAAAATATTGAGATATGTTTTTTAAAACATCAAGACAATTAAAAAATATCAATATGTGTCTTATAAAAATTTAAAGACAAGTTTTTTTTTTTACTAAAATATTAAGGCATTAAGACTAAAATATTAAGACATGTTTTTAAATATTTAGATGTGTCTTATAAAAATATTACTATATACTTTTTTTAATATTAAGATGTATTAAAAAAATATTTACTAAAATATGAAAGCATTAAGACTAAAATATTTTTTTACCATTTATGTGTCATAAAAATATGAAGTTGTTCTATCTCCTAAAATATAAAGACACTCTTTTAAATATTAAGATGTATTTTTAAATAATACTAAGATGCTTTTAAAAAATATATTTACTAAAATCTGAAGGTATTAAGACTAAAATATTAACACTTTTATTTAGATGTGGATGTATCTATTTTTATATTTAGATCTAAAATACTTACACATTTTTTTTATATATATTTTAAGAATATCAAAACTATTAAAAGGCTAAAGAATGTGTTCAGGGCATTTAAACCTTCACTGACAGCTATTAAAATGCCTCATGTATGCAGTGTAAACGACGGTCTCCAGTAGGACAGAGCGTCACAGACCTCTGGACTCGTGGAACTCCAGGGTGACGTGGGCATCAAAGCCGAGGCTGAAGTAGTTATTGAACACGTTTAGAGGAAGCTGAGAAGACACACACAAACATATCAGCAGCGTATAAACACAACCCAATGTCTGTGTCAGCATGAACACAGCCATCACCTTCTGCGTTCCCTCCTCCGGCTGAACGGCCGATCGCTCCACCTGCAGATTCCAGCGGTCCAGCTGCACCACCGTCCCGTCCTCCACCTGACACAAGACCTTCGACACCGGATCGTCTGTGTAACCCTGAAACATCACAGCTACTGTCTGTGAGAGCGGCTTACTCCTGCCATAAACACGGTCCTTGACATCAATCAGTTCAAATGATCATTACACCCGCTTCATTGCTAATAATAGACTTTGGATTGAGGCATGGGAAAAAACCTGGGAGCCTCCAGATTCCAAGGCCAGTGTTTCTCCAGACACACAGTTAGAGTATAATAGAAAATAATGAGAGGCATTTATCAGTGACAATCACAGCCTCTCAGCCAATCACAGCAGCCACATCATAATTCTGCAGCAAAAGTTACATATTCAGATTCAGTTTTAATATGAATTTGACGTTTATTGCTTTTTCAAATATAACTTATTTTAAATATATAAATTAATTCTAATTTATTAATTTATAATTAATTATAATTTAATTAATTCTAAGGGTGGAAAATTGTTAATAAAACATTAAATATTAAAAAAAATCTTTTTAAATATTTAAATCCATTTTTAAAAGATATTAAGACTTTTTTAAATGTTATATATTATTTATTAATATAATATTTATTTAATATTTAAACAAAGACTTTATATATCTTTATATATATATACAGTATATATACATAAAGAGTTTAATCCTTTTGTAATTAAACATATCCTTTTTTTAAATCTTAAGCCATACTTTTAAAAAAAAAATAGATTTTTTTGTAGATATTGACATTTAAAAAATATATATTTAGAAAAATATTTTGACATAAAAAACATACCAATATTAATATTTAGGCATATCTTTTATTACATTTTAGACAATAAATAAATATATTTTTAAAAATTATTTAGACATATTTTTTAAATATTAAGAGTTTAAAAAAATGTTGACAATTTTTAATATAATGAGACATATTTATATAATTTTTAAACATATTTAGACATATCTTTGAAAATATTTAAGACAGTTTTTAAAAAGCATAAATACATTTTTATAGATATTAAGACATTTAAAACAAATTAAGTTTTTTATTTTAAATTAGATAACATTTCAGACATACTTTTTAAAAATATATATAAAGAAATTTCTTGTAGTTTTTTTTCTTCGTATTTAGACATTTAAAAAAAACAAGATTTATTATTATTATATGTGTGTATGTATATATATACACATACATACATACCTTTAAAAAAAATTAGGCTTTGTTTAAAAAAAAAAAATCAAGACATATTTAAAAAAAATTGTTAGACATATCTTTTTACAAAATAATTCAGACATAATTTAGACATATTTTTACTATAAAGTGCCTCACTTACAGCACAATCACAGCTTCTCAGCCAATCAGAGCAGCCCGATCATATCAGACTAATGCAGATGTCTGGGCTATACAATTATTTATTTATCATTTAATGTAAAGATGCTTTAAGATGAGTTGACTCACCCCTCCCCAGTTCAGTGTCCTGGCAAGGTCATTTCCTGTACCAAGAGGAAGCACAGCTACAGGAGGTTGTGGGTTCATTTGTAGTTCATCTAAGGCCGAGAGAATCCAGCCCACCTAGACAAAAGAGGACAAACCACTCAAACCCGGGGTCAGAAATGACAAAAGCGCTCAGGAAATCCAAGTTTGATCTCACAGGAGTCATAGATCTAGAAATTACCCACAAGAAAGCGTGACACTGCAAAGCACAGAGCCACCATTAGCTAATTACAGTGTTTTGTCACTGCGCGTTCGTTGTCGTTCCACACATTTGTCACCAGAGGGGGGTGCGTCCAAAATCTCTAAACTTCATCCCTGATCATCCCAACATGCATTGCAGCTTACCGTTCCATCTCCTCCACAGGCAAGGATGCGAAGATTTGGCACTTTCCTGTATAATTCCAGCCTGACGGACCGAAGGAAACAACAGTGTTGTGTGTTACTGATGCATTCTAATGCCAATTAACAGAATACTCCATTTAGCTTAACAAATCCAAACATAAGAGCTGTTTAAAGACCCTGAACAGTAGTTGCATGCATTAGATAACAATATCAAAACAAGTATCATTTTATCACAACTAACTTCACATTTCAGAGCCATTTTGCACTGATATTGGTAACACTTTACAATAAGGTTGAATTTGTTTTTGTTAGTTAATGCATTAGGCATCATGAACTAAAAATATACAATACTTTTACAGCATCTATTAACGTTAATTTATTTTTATATACCAGTACATTTAACATTACAAGTTGTGTAAGCATGTATTATGAAAGAACAGGAATAATGAACAACAATATATTTAATAATTAACCTAGATTGGTAAATGCAATATATTTATCATTAGTAAATTAGTAAAATGTTTATCATAAGTATCTAATGCATTAACTAATGCTAACAAACTTAACCTTAATGTAAAGCGGGTACTATTAGTAACGCCAGTTAATGCATTACTAACATTAACTAACCATGAGCAATACATTTTTTACAGTATCTTTGTTAACATTAGTTAATAAAAACTACAACTGTTCATTGGTAACACTTTACAATAAGGTTCCATTTGTTAACATCAGTTAACTACATTAGTTAACAAACAACCGATAAAAATACTTCTAAAGCATTTATGAATCTTAGTTATTGTTGATTCCAATATTTACTAATACATTATTAAAATCAAAAGTTGTATCTATTAATGTTATGTACCTGAGCTAACATGAACCAACAATGAACAGCTGTATTTTTATTAACTAACTTTAACAAAGATGAATAAATACTGTAACACGTGTAGTGCTCATTTGAAGTTAATGTTAGTCGATACATACATTTAGTTAACAAATGGAACCTTATTGTAAAGTGTTACCAATTTTGCCTTCATTTTCAATGTTCTTTCATCATGTAAAACCTAATAAAACAATTAATTTGGGAACCATTTGGCATGAAAAAGAGTTTTCTTTTAAATAAATTACACTTCATTTGATATTTTCATTTTTTCCTTCTAATGCAATGAGATTTTTAAGTGTGGATTAAATGTTTTGGGGGCCACTGCATGTGTGCGTGTTGGTTTTCTGTTTTAATAGAGGGAGTTTAATCATAGCTCTGTCAGACAGCTCTGAAGAAAAGCCCTCCAGCCGCCCAGCTGTGTCTGCCCTCCCATCTTAATACTCTCTCTCTCTCTCTCTCTCTCTCTCTCTGTCAGCGGTAGAGCCCATCAGAGCCCATCGCCGGTGCTTTGCTGCCTCACGACTCAATTACTGAGGCGAACTGAGGCGGTGGGCAGTGGGGAGAGAAGCTTCTAGAACACTGAACTCCCTCACAGAACACAGCACTGCTGAGATCCAACGACTACATAATTAATGTGGTCAGGACAAAGAAATGGTGGGTTAAAGCGCATTAAGGGAGGGAGAGATGATCTGAAATGTAATGAAAGAGAGCGCTGAAATCGAGAGACTCACGCTTCTCTGGGCCCTCCCTGAGACAAATCAAACACCTGCCGAGGGTTCAGGATCCACATGAACATCTGCAGCAGCTTCGTCCCCTGAGAACCACAGACAGAAGATCAGACAGACACAACGATACACATACAGAAGGACAGATAGAGTGGCAGAACGACAGAGTGACAGAAGGACATTCAGAGAGAATGACAGATAGAAGGATAGATAGAACAATAAAACGTTAGATAGAAAGAACGATAGATAGAACGATAGATAGATCAGACAGACAGACAGAACAACAGCATGATAGAATGACAGAGTGACAGACAGAACAACAGTTATAGACAGAACAACAGACAGAATGGCAGTCATAGAATGACAGACATAGAATTACGGACAGAGTGATTGACAGAACAACAGACAGAGTCATAGATAGAACGACTGAGTGATACAACAACAGACATACAGAGTGACAGTTAGAATGACAGACAGATAGAACAGACATACAGAACAACACATTGATAGATAGAAAGAACGATAGATAGAACGATAGATAGATCAGACAGAACAACAGCATGATAGAATGACAGAGTGACAGACAGAACAACAGTTATAGACAGAACAACAGACAGAATGGCAGTCATAGAATGACAGACATAGAATGACGGACAGAGTGATTGACAGAACAACAGACAGAGTCATAGATAGAACGACTGAGTGATACAACAACAGACACACAGAGTGACAGTTAGAATGACAGACAGATAGAACAGACATACAGAACAACACATTGATAGATAGAACGACAGACAGATACAGAGACAACAGCAGACAGATAGAACAACAGAGAGTGATAGACAGAATGGAATATTGTCAGAATGACAGACAGACTGAAGGACAGTCATAGATATAACAACAGAAAGATAGAATAACAGTCATAGAGCAACAGACAGAATGATAGACAGAGTGATAGATAGAATGACAGTGACCGAACGACAGACAGATAGAACAATAAAAGAACTAAAGACAGACAGAATGAGTCATAGAGCAGACAGAATGACAGTGATAGAACGACCGACCAACAGACAGAGCAACAGACAGATAGATAGAACGACAGAGAGAGAACAACAGACAGAGTGACAGAGACAGAATGACAGACAGGCAGAGAGAGTGACAGGTAAAACGACAGACAGAAGGTGACAGTGATAGAACAACAGACAAAAAGAACAAGAGTCATAAATGAAACAACGGATAGATAGAATGACAGACTGAATGATAGAACGACTGAGTGATACAACGACAGACAGATAGAACAGACAGAGCAACACAGTGACAGACGGAGAACGTCAGACAGAGTGATAAAACAACAGACAGAACGTCAGAGTTGTAGATATATTGACAGACAAACAGAATGTTAGATAGAATGGCAGACAGACATAATGTTAGACAGAAAAACAGACAGACAGATAGACAGGTAGATGGATGGACAGACAGAACCACAGACAGATGGATAGAATGGCAGAGAGGCCAACAGACTGATAGACACACAGATCTCTCGTTTAACTCTCTTCCCACACAATAAAATAAATGCACATGAAATATTGATTTCATCTGAAATTGTTTATGTAATGCATCCATTAATATTTTTATGAAATATTTATGCTAAGTAGTCACATATTAAGCAGTTTAATGTACAGTCATTTGGTCATTATGACCCTTTCAGGGTTTATTGTTCTATAATGACTGTACATTATTCCTCCATTAGTGTCTAGATCACCTGGTTTCCACCGCTCTTGGGGTTGACGAACACCAGCACTGGTTTCATCAGCGGTGAGGGCAGTGGCTTCAGCATGAACGGACGCCATTTCGATTCCTGCAGAAGTCACTCCATTATACTTCAATAAATGCACATTTGCACACAAATACAGACACACACACACACACACACACCACTGCAGTGAGCTGTGAGGACAGATGATCGCTGAGCAGGAGTTAAGGGAAGAAAGCCCTCAGAAAACACTGTGGCATCATTTAAAAGGAGGGACAGGACAGGAATCAGATCTACTCACATCCATCCCCTTTTTGCTGGCTCTTCTTTTGAACGACGTCCGTTTTTTCCTTCGAGTGGAGTTTTTAAATGAGCTCTGGGACACAGGAGAGAGACGCCGACTAAGCCAACACATACCAAAACTAACTCCAGCAGGACTAAGTTTAGCTAAAGTTGGACAATAACTGCTAGAAATGTTTATTTTTCAATTTAAGGAAAAGTTCACCCAAAAAGGAAAACTTTTCATCACTTGTTCACCCTCATGTTGCTCTGAACCTGTTGATGAAGAAACCTGATGCAAATACGGTTCTTTTTTACCAACTATATTTAAAGTCTTCTGAAGTCATACAATGAGGAAAATACTAAATTAACTCATTGACCTTGTAAGGAAAAGAGCAGTGTAAACATACTGCAAAAAATCTTTTATATCGAAGAATAAAAAGTTATATGGGTTCAGAATGACATGAAGATGAGAAAATAATAAAAAGAGTTTCCTTGGTTGAACTATTCCAAAAACACTTTGAATACAAGCAAGCAACTTCCCTTTGAGCAACTCCTGAATTGAAAGCAGCAGTTATATGCCACATTTCAAAAACCTGCCCCATCGATGCATAAATCCACCAATCATAGCTGAGCGTGTCATCAGTGGGCGTGGTCTAAATATCTGCTATGACTGTTGATATGATGGGTCAGTTTTTGAATTCAATTCTGGCTTTCAAGGCAACAGATAAACTGGGATGTTAATAGTTTACATTGCAAAATTTGTTTTGTTTTTTTTACTCAGTATTTTGTCTTGATTTCCTAAGCAATTCTTAGGAATTCTCAGAATTGCAACTTTTTCCATCTCAAAATTGCGAGATAATTTTTTTTGTTTATATCTCACAATTCAAAGGTTATATCAAGCAATTATGTCTTTTGTCAGAATTCAGATTTTGTATCTTGCTATTCAGTTTTTTTTTTTGCAATAGAAAAACAAATTAAAAAGGTGATTGCGACTTTTTATCTCACAATTCTGACTTTTTCACCCTTGCAATTTTAAGTTTATATCTTGCAATTCTGAATTTATATTTTGCAAGACTTGCCAGAATCTCAGTGCTGCAATAAAAAAGTGAAAATTCTGAGATATAAACTCAGAATTGATAGAAAAATGTTGCAGTTATCTTTATTTTTTCATCCCATGGTTGAAACAATCTTCCATATTTTCCAGTCCAAATATCTAAACATTCTTAAATCAAGACACATTTACAAGAGGAGCAAAATGGCACAAGATATGTTTGCTTTCTGAAAATATTTTTGCTTACAATAAGAAAAATATTTGCCAAAGTGGTAAGAAGAATACATTTGAATTCAATGTATTTATTTTTTACCCCATTGGCAGAATTTTTTTTTTCTTGTTTTAAGCATAAGTTTACTTAATTTTGCTTACTTACTTTTATACATTATTATTATTACTATTATTATTAAGAAAATACTTGAAGTCATTCTGCTTCTCATGTAAATGTTTCTTAATTTCAGAACGTTTAGATATTTGTACTGGAAAACAAGACAAAAATACTGAGTAAGAAGTCATTTTTGCAGTGTATGAAACAATGAAAGAAGCTCCATATAAAATATGTAGACGAGTTTTATGAAACACACTGTTACTGATATCAAATCTTGCAGCATCGAAGCATATTTAAGCCGAAGCTGATCAGCATAACTGAGTGCAGAAGACAAGATCATACAGCCCAGCTTCAAAACACAGTCTAGAGTCACCTTGCATTAGCATCTCCTGCAGAACATTACATAAACCTCAGGCTCAGGTCTTCTCATAAGTGCTGATAAAACTCTGATAAGATGAGCGTACCTGCGGTTTCCTGACTTTGATGATCCAGGAAGGGGGTATGATGACCCCGGCGTGAGCTCCTAGAGAACAGGGCTCCTCGTGCTTGAAGAGACAAACGTCAGCGTTCATCTGTTGAGGGCATATTGATGACGTGCATGAGAATTAAACAGATATTTCTGCCTCCGCTCACCTTGTCCAGCTCCTCGATACACGCCGTGTGGACCACAATCTTACAGGCTGCACACTTCCTCCGGGGAGCCGACTTCTTAAAGAGAACCGAACAGCACAAACACACAGAAATTTGTCATAGAGCAAGAGCACACATCTACGATCCATCTTATAATTCAATTGTAAGAGAAATATGCTCTCATCTTCAGCAGTAAAAAGCTTCCTCTGAGGCAAGGAATGATTTTGCCAACTCCTTGAAGTGGCAATAATAGAGTTGCCACGGCTCTTGAAAACATCAGAGCGTGGCGCTGCGCTTTAACAAAAGCCTAACAAAATCCTTTTACCTGCTGTACATTCTCAGACTAATAGCTGCCTCTTCCTTTCAACACACACCAGCCTCACATTATCTCATGAAAGAAAATGTCACAGCTAAAACGCTCTAATGACACTCTCTTCTCTGCCTTCAGCTCGCCCTGCAAATACAGCTATCGTCTGACTTCTCTCGTCCGTTTTAACCACGTTATACTCACTGCAATCTTGACCACGCACGTCTCCTCGCCCAGGTAGCAGAGATCGCCGGAGCAATTCGTCTCCAGCCACAGGTGGTCACCGTTCACTGCGTTCTCCTGCAAATAAGGAGATCAAATTAAAGGTTTTGTGACTTTTAATCCATGTTTGCGTTTCATTTCCTTTGGAGGTCGCATATATCTCATTTCAGAAAAGGAACCATTATAAAACTTGTTATTCCTGTAAATTCATGTCATTTCTTTCTTACTTTGGACTCTACTGGACTCTCTCTTCAAAGCTAACAGTGCTCTAAAGTTGTCACATTTATTGGCTGTATACATCATTGACACTCAGAAAAGTAACTGAGCATCAATAACGTATACGGCTGGCTGACAAATGTAACAACTTTAGGACACTGTTAGCTTTGAAGTTAATCCTCCATGCTAATGCACTCTTAAATGTTCACAAAATGAGCATATATGCATTTAAAATGGACAATTTTGCTCTTTCAGGAAAACAAAACAAAAATATTCATCAAGTGCTCTCTAGAATGAAAATCCCCTTATGCTAACTGATTAGCATGTAGAAAATCATGGTTTATGACTATTGTGACAATTTCCACGCATGCAGTTATACAAAAGCTATGTAACTTTCTTACTTGACACTCAGAAAAGCAGCGTATGTGGCTGACAAATGTGACCACAGCCTTCAAAATGAGACACAGTCCATGTTTATTAGCTTTGAAGCTATCATCTGCATGCAAATGCACTCTTGAATGTTTACAAAATCATCATATATGAATTTAAAATGGACGATTTCCATTTTAGATTCACCTAAAAGTATACGTTGCAAGGTTTTTTAATTTTTTGTGTGTGTTTGTTTGCTTGTTTTGTTTTTACAATAAATAAAAAGAAAACAAGTAGATAGAATAGAAAAATAATAGGAAATGCTAGTGTTAAAGGGCCATTTTTTTATAAAAAAAAAAAAGGAAAGTCAATAGAACAGAAAAAGAATAGATAGAGATCGCCGGAGCAATTCGTCTCCAGCCACAGGTGGTCACCGTTCACTGCGTTCTCCTGCAAATAAGGAGATCAAATTAAAGGTTTTGTGACTTTTAATCCATGTTTGCGTTTCATTTCCTTTGGAGGTCGCATATATCTCATTTCAGAAAAGGAACCATTATAAAACTTGTTATTCCTGTAAATTCATGTCATTTCTTTCTTACTTTGGACTCTACTGGACTCTCTCTTCAAAGCTAACAGTGCTCTAAAGTTGTCACATTTATTGGCTGTATACATCATTGACACTCAGAAAAGTAACTGAGCATCAATAACGTATACGGCTGGCTGACAAATGTAACAACTTTAGGACACTGGTAGATTTGAAGTTAATCCTCCATGCTAATGCACTCTTAAATGTTCACAAAATGAGCATATATGCATTTAAAATGGACAATTTTGCTCTTTCAGGAAAACAAAACAAAAATATTCATCAAGTGCTCTCTAGAATGAAAATCCCCTTATGCTAACTGATTAGCATGTAGAAAATCATGGTTTATGACTATTGTGACAATTTCCACGCATGCAGTTATACAAAAGCTATGTAACTTTCTTACTTGACACTCAGAAAAGCAGCGTATGTGGCTGACAAATGTGACCACAGCCTTCAAAATGAGACACAGTCCATGTTTATTAGCTTTGAAGCTATCATCTGCATGCAAATGCACTCTTGAATGTTTACAAAATCATCATATATGAATTTAAAATGGACGATTTCCATTTTAGATTCACCTAAAAGTATACGTTGCAAGGTTTTATTTTTTTGTGTGTGTTTGTTTGCTTGTTTTGTTTTTACAATAAATAAAAAGAAAACAAGTAGATAGAATAGAAAAATAATAGGAAATGCTAGTGTTAAAGGGCCATTTTTTTATAAAAAAAAAAAAGGAAAGTCAATAGAACAGAAAAAGAATAGATAACGCTTGTGTTAGAAGGTCATTATTTATAATAAACAAAAAGAAAATAAGTAGAAAGAATAGAGAATGCTAGTGTTAAAGGCTCTTTTTTCTTTTGAAATAAAACAAGTAGTTAGAATATAAATAGAATAGAGAGTGCAAATGTTAGAGGGTCAAAAAAAAATTGTAATAAAAAAACAAGCAGAAAAAATTTGAATTAGCATTATAATAGAGAGTGCTAGAGTTAGAGGGTCAAATGAAGTGAAAGAGATGTGTTTTCAGCTGTTTCTTTAAAATGATTAAGGACTCCACCAGGAGGGAACAGTTAATGTAAAAGTCCGTGAAAGTTTTATCATAGGTAGAATGCAAAATGTTTCAATACAAGCATTTCAGTCAAATGTACTTTATGCAATATTTCAAACCTTTAACCCACTTGGGAAAATCAACCCATGGCAAAAGTTTAAAAGTAGTCCAATTCTGTGGAAAAAACACCGACTTGGCAACCCTGCATCCAAGAAGAGCTGATCTCAGGTCGAGAATAAGGAGAGATGACTGACAAGACCATGCTGGAGTATTTGCTGCTCAACAGATCCTGAGCTCATTGACAAATATCTGATCTTGCAAGATGTGCTTCCTTTACACAGAGTGTTTGTGATCGCGAAATCGAAAGTGAACAGCATGCAAAATGTTTCAATACAAGCATTTCAGTCAAATGTACTTTATGCAATATTTCAAACCTTTAACCCACTTGGGAAAATCAACCCATGGCAAAAGTTTAAAAGTAGTCCAATTCTGTGGAAAAAACACCGACTTGGCAACCCTGCATCCAAGAAGAGCTGATCTCAGGTCGAGAATAAGGAGAGATGACTGACAAGACCATGCTGGAGTATTTTCCCATGCCAGTATCACAGACAGATCTACTCAAACTTATATTTACGCAAATACAGCCCACACTGTCTGTACAAACACAAAGAGAGCAAAAAGGGGTCATAAACCGAGAAACCAAAATTCCCTTCATCTTTTGACATATAAGAAGAGGTCATTGTACTATAAAATCATGCTGTAAGTTTCAGAAAACTAAACTTTGTCATTAGTCTAAAAACAGCTTATATTGAAGCCAGTCTGCCAAAACAACAGCTTGTGGAATGTGCCACTTTATGATGTAATAGTGTGACTAAACACCACCTCCGCAGAAAAGATCAATGCCTGCTTCTACAGTGCTGCCTACTTAGCCCCGCCCACCGATTCACACATGCAGTGTGTTGTCTATGCTCGTAAACATTGTTGCCAAGCCCCTGGTTTTTCCACAGAATTTATTTTAACACTGTTGCCGCGGGTTGTTTTTCATGTCCGCGGGTTGAAGCGACCACAATATGTGATATTTATTCCCTGGAATGCGGTTTTTCCATTTTTTTTAAAGATAAATTTTTTGTGTTTTTGACTTTATTATGATAGGCCAGTGTAGAGGAGACAGAAAGCAAAGTGGGAGAGAGAGGGGGATGTGATAGTGAAAAGTCCTCGAGCCGGGATTCGAACTCGGGACGCCCGTAGCGCAACAGCACAATATGTTGGCACATTGCCCAAAAGGCTATTGGTGCTCACGGAATGCGAATTTTAATCACAACTGTTAGCCAATCATAGCAGTGGGTGTTTACTTCTGAGTCTACAATCCACTACTCCTATTCAAACAGATCGTTCTGATGAGGGGGGTTTAAAAACAGAACAGAAAATAGCATATTACTTCTGAATTATGATGTTTTTGATGTAATATTATAAGTTGAAGTTAAAAACAGGGGCAGCTCATGACCCCTTTAAGGAGGTTAATAGTATACTAAAGCCAAAACATTTCTCATTAACGTTAACACATGCATTAAAGATCTAAAGCTACTAATATATCAAAGTGAACATGTAGCATGCATGTTTCATATCTCCAGCTGTCCAAGTGCATATTAAAATGTGTAACTGAACTTGATGAAACTCCAAGCTCCTTCCTCAAAAACTGTTGCCACCTGATCTTCCTCCAGTATTTAACATAGTAAACACACAGCGCCATATGGCCGTCCCTTTTGAAGCGAAGGTTGAAAGTGACCCAACGCTCGTGTATAATTTTACACACACTCACGACACAAGCAACGGAGGTAGGGGGTGAAGAGAACAACAGACGAGGAAATGGTGGGCCGTACACTTGACACCCTGCTGAAAGTTTCAAATCCTCAACTAAAATTATCCCGATCAGAAAGAACACAAGCGAGAGTCCAGTTACGAGCTCTTTTGTAAAGCGAGCCGGGGCCACGGGATCACGCACCTTTACCCTCCGAGCTAAAAATAGAGCCACTGGCAGATGACATGTGCGTTGGAAACATGCCACTGTGGTGAAAGACAGGAACACGACAACAAATATACATAAACAAATATGTCACACATGCGTAGGCAAGAAAAATCTAAACCAGGTTCTCTGAAACAAGACTTGAGCTCTCAGATTTTTCTCCTGACAAAAATGATCTAACATGTCTTCTCAAAGATTTCAGAATAGATCTCAACAATGTCTTTTTCCTTAGAGAGTCTCCTAAGCAATGAAAGAGTGACTTGTGAGCAGCAAAATGTGAAATTTGATGACACATGCATCAGAAAAAGGCCATTCATGACAAAAGGAAACATGCAACATGAGGAGCCGAGTAAGAAAGCTTTCGTTAGAAACCATCCTGAATGCTGAATCATTAGTGTCACATGTCTCTGTGGACGTGATTGCACTAAAATGATCAAATCCACAGGCTGATATAGAGAGGTTGAGACATACATGTCCTCTTTCCCATTGCAGTCAAGTAAATGAGTAACGCATTTCTGTTTAATATTATTCCATGGCATTAAGCAAATCAATCAACGATGTCCACTGTTTAAAGACGCCATACATTAGGGCGCATAATCAGTCCTGGGTAAACACCGTGTCATGTCGCAGACAGCTGAACATTTCACTAGAAAGTAATCAACTGAGTGCACACCGCACAGGCAGAATGGCACACAATTTGAGATAAAGAATACACCAACAGACAGGAAGAGCAATCAGCGAGACTGCCATAATGGAATTAGTTCTACTAAAACCAGCTTTGACAGAGGTCTGGCTTCACCGAGAGACTGCAGAAGGATGATGTGCATGTGTGTGACATTTAT